TTTAGATTTTGTATAAACTTTTAACTGAAAATATTTTGCGTTAATGTGAGCAATATTTTGTGAAATATCGGTATATAAATCGCTTATATTTATAGCCAGGACATTGATAATATTTAGTTAATGTTATATATCTATAAAATAGTTGCGATAAATCAGCTGCATTATTGTTTTTTTTACAAAATGTATTGTATTGTACAGTATATTATAGACAAAACTGCACTAAAGTTGCACTAAAATCCTAACCATTTTATCATTTAAAATTCAATGTTTGTAATAATCAATGGCAATGAGATTGTGTAAAACTGTGACACAATTGTATAGTAAGGTAAACAAAACTTTGAGTTGAACTTGATAGAAATACTTATTAAATTACAGCACATCAACATTATATAAAGATTTAACATAGATTTAACAACAGTTGCAATACTAAACTGAAGTCTAAATTAAATTAAAATAATTTCACAATTGATTTTTCAAAACTTTAAATATTTCATAAATCTGTATACTAACTTATTATATAAATTTTTAAATTATTATATAAGTAAAATACCATGTCTTTACCATATTTAACATCTATTACTTGTGCCCTTTGTATTATTTATACTTTTTTGCACTAGTTTATTTCAAAGGTTAGGTTGAACTAAAATAGTTATATAGAATGTTATATAATATGTTATATAAAACACAGTACCGTAGTTTTTGCGGTTAACCAATTGATTTGTGTTAACTAATCATCAATTCTAATTAGCAAATATAGTAGTGATAAAATTCATTTAATGAAAAATAAAATTCAATATCTTTAAGTTTATACCCTTTATGTTCAAGAGTTTTGGCGACAAAAGTGCAACTCGTCTCGAGGGCGCAGATGTCTCAGTACGTGGCCGTAGACGCACTGCCCGTCGGTCTGGGCGGCAATCGGGCCACTGTTTACGATGGCATCGACGATATGTTACCGCTATATCAGATGAAAGACTTGAATCTGGCCGAAAAGGATGTTGATAACTTTTATAAGGTTTATAATTTGCAGAAGGATGCCTAATTACATGGTGGGTTTGTTTGTTATTTTAGTTTTAATTATTTAAATGGTTTTTGTATTCAGATTTTTTTTTTGCAATTATGTTTTGTTTTTAATGATTATTTTAACTAAAAGGTAGAAAAATTTATCTTTGAATTAATAGTTATATTTTAGTTAACAATTCTTACATATAGTTTTATTTTAGTTTTAATTTAAAAATTATTTATTTTAATTATAATTTTAAACATACATTAAATTATTAAATTGTGTTTAATAAAACCATGATTAAAACACTTGTGACCTTTACTACATTACAAATTTTTTAAATAATTCTGTATTGCATTCCTTGGTTCAAATTATTATCAAAATTTGTTTAAATTATAAACCTTTAAAATATAAACAATTTATTAAAACTAAAAATTAACATAATTTTTATTTCATAATTAAGATTATATTTGTTTAAAAAATTGATATTAATTATCAATACTCAATGACAGTGCGGACTGTTTTGCCGGCCTTTAAACTATCAAAGCCTTCATTGATTTCATCCAAACGTATTCTGTGTGTAATTAAGCCATCGATAGGTAGAGAACCGCTTAAATACTTGTCAACCATTTCTTGATTGGTTTTGCGGGGCTTTTGGTTACCAAAGAGACCGCCGGTAACTGTGCGACCCATTACTAGATCCGCCACTTTTGCATTCACACCATTACCTCTCGGACCCAAACCTGTTATAATTAATTGTAATATTGAAATTAAATTACTTTAATTAATTATAAAATATAAGTTATTATAGTAAATTTATTTACCGATAGCTGTTAATACACCCCAAGGGCTTAATGATTTATAAGCCGAGTCGAGCACCTGTTGGTTACCGATGCAGTCAAACGCGTAATCAATTCCTCCCATTTTCTGCAAATAACTCTCAATCGGTTCGTCTAAATAGCAATTCAATTAAAATTAATTTTAATTATTGAATATTTTTAAAACCCATTACAAACCGAGTGTTTTAGGATTAATGAATTGATTGCAACCAAACTCTTTGGCAATACTTTCTTTGTCGGCATTGATGTCAACACCAATGATAGTGTGAGCGCCGGCCTCTCTGCAGCCCAACAGAGCCGACAACCCGATGGCACCCAAACCCCAAACCGCACATTTGGCTCCGGGATGTACTCGAGCTATATTGACAGCACTGCCATAACCCGTCCCAACAGCGCAACCAATGACACAAACAGTCTTCAGATCAGCGCTCGGATTGATCTGCAATTATAATAAAGAGATTTTAACCACAAATTAATTACTATAAATACAAATAAAGCCATACCTTTGCCACTTGTGTCTCCCTAAGAACATTGTACTCGGAGAAAGTGCCGGTGCCCGCTATTAATAAATCATAATGGTTAGTCATTATTAATGACTCATTAAATTATAAACCAGGCAAAAATAATAACATACTCATTGAAAGCAACGGTTTTCCATTGATCTTCATTCGGGTCTCTTTGTTCTTCTGATACATTGAGGACACGATATCACCGCTGAGACAGAGATTAGTTTTGGGATGCGAACAGAGGTCACACTTCTCGCACTCAGGCATCCACATCGGTATCACGTGATCGCCCGGCGCCACACTCGTCACGCCCGGACCCACCGACTCGACAACACCGGCGCCCTCGTGACCCATAACTAGAGGGTTGCCCTCTAAGTCCAGTATGATGTCTGTATCCCAGCCCCAAACAAAGTGGCCATCGCTGGCGCACAGACCGGCCGACACCATACGCACCCGCACTTCACCCTCTTGTGGCGGATCCACTGTTATGTTTTCAATGGTTAGCGGAGTTCCCGGCGTCCAGAGCACAGCCGCCCGACAATTGATTACCTGTGCATTCATTGTATGGAAAACAAAATTATTATTATTTTTGGTAAAATATTTTCTCATTTAAACCTTTTCAGCCATTATTTCAAATAATTTATTTGTGATTTGACTATAAGTTTAGGTTTTGTATAAACTTCTAACTGAATATATTTTGTGTTATTTTAATGTGAGAAATATTTTGGGAAATATTGGTATAGAAATCGCATACATGTATATCTTATCATTTCGATTAAAATGCAATGTTTGTATTAATTAATGGCAATAAGATTGTGTAAAACAGTGGCACAATTGTGTAGTAAAGTAAACCAAACTTTGAGTTGAACTTGATATAAAGATTTATTAAAATTCATATTAAATTACAATACAATACATCGACACTATTTAACATAAATTTAATAACAATTGCAATACTGAACTGAAGTTTAAATTAACTTCATTATTGAAATTATACTTAATTTCACAATTTATTTCTCAAAACTTTGAATATTTCATATATCTGTATACGATATTTAACATTTATTACTTGTGCCCTTTGTATTATCTATACTTATATTATTATAGCAATGATAAATAAATACTGTACTATTATTTTAAATGAGTTTTTTGCCCTAGTTCATTTCAAAGTTTAAGTTCAGTAATATAACACACAGTAGATTGGTTTTTGCGGTTAACCAATGGATTTGTGTTAAATACACATCGATTTGAATTATCAAATATAGTAGTGATAAATGAAAAATAAAAATCAATGTCTTTATGTTAATACCCTTTTGAGAGATAATGTCTTAAACTACAGACAAAAATTGGCTAATGATAACAATGCGAGTAAATTATAATTAATTTTAGTTTATTAAAAACTTTTAGTATAATTTGTATTTATCGTATTTTTATTTCATGCAATAAATTTACTTTTCATATCTACACAAAACTGGTTAAATTTGAAACATTTCAAACTCATACAACTAGGAATTTTTGTAATCAAACAATAATGAATTTATTTGAACTGGCTGCTTTTAAAATCTTATTTTAAAGTATTCATGATAAATACGTATACGTCCTATTTTATTTTATTATTTTTTATAAGTTATAATTTATAACACATTAAATGAAAAATATAATTATAAAAACATATAATCAGTGAATTAGTGTTCAGAACTCAATGACAGTCCGTATTGTTTTTCCGGCCTTTAAATCGTCGAAACCTTTATTAATGTCATCCAAAGGTATTGTATTACTAATTAAGCCATCGATGGGAAGCGTGCCCTTCATATACTTGTCGACCAACTCCTGGTTGGCTTTACGCGGCTTATAATTGCCGAAAAAGCCGCCCAAAACGTACCGACCCTTCACTAGTTCCGCCACTTTTACATTCAATCCATTGCCCTTTGGACCCAATCCTGGAATCAAGGTTTTAAAATTAAATGTTGAATACTCTTCACATATAGTAATTATTTTTATTATAATTTTGATATATTTATAAGCAATTTGGTTACCGATAATAGTGAGTGAACCCCAAGGGGTGAGTGATTTGTAGGCCGAGTCGAGCACCTGTTGGTTACCGATGCAGTCAAACGCGTAATCAATTCCTCCCATTTTCTGTAAATAACTCTCAATCGGTTCGCCTGAATAGCAGTTCAATTAAAATTAATTTTAAATATTGAATATTTTTCAAACTTATTACAGACCGAGTGTTTTAGGATTAATGAATTGATTGCAACCAAACTCTTTGGCGACACTCTCTTTGTCGGCATTGATGTCGACACCAATGATAGTGTGAGCGCCGGACTGTTTACAGCCCAACAGAGCCGATAACCCGATGGCACCCAAACCCCAAACGGCACATTTGGCTCCGGGATGTACTCGAGCTATATTGACAGCACTGCCATAACCCGTCCCAACGGCGCAACCAATGACACCAACTTTCAACAAATCAGCGCTTGGGTTGAGCTTAAAAATAAATACATGAAAATTTTAATTAATATAAGTATAAATTTACAATAATTTAAAATTAAAATTACTTTCGCTAACTGTATCTCACGGACGACCACATACTCGGAGAAAGTGCTGACACCGGCTGTTGGGAAGTGGTGTCCAATTATAAGTTAAAATACATCCAAATTCTTAAAGACACGCAAAACAAGACATGATTTTCATATAAATACCGTATGAGAGGAGAGGTTTGCCATTGATTTTCATTCGGGTCTCTCTGTTGTCGTGATATAAAACCGTGTATTTATTGGCCGCCAGACAGAAGTTGGTCTGCGGGCTGACACAGAGAGCGCATCGGCCGCACTCAGGCATCCATAGGAGCATCACTTTGTCGCCGACCTCAACACTGGTCACGCCATCGCCCACCGACTCGACAACGCCGGCCCCCTCGTGACCCATCGCCACCGGATTTCCTTCAAACTCGTAGCTCAGGTCCGTTTCGTGACCCCATATGAAGTGGCCATCGCTGGCACAGACACCGGCCGACACCATACGTACCCGTACTTCACCCACTTTTGGCGGATCCACTGTTATGTTCTCCACCTTTAGTGGCGTCCCCTCCGACCACATCACCGCCGCCCGGCATGAGATCACCTGTCGGTTCCATTTAATCATTACATTTTAATATGAAATATATTTAATGTTTAAATTGATACACATTTGGTATACCTTTGATGACATGTTTTATGGTTTTTTCTAAACCTGTTATGAAAGTACTCTACCATTCAATGCAATATTCAAAGCACATTTTAATGTCTGTCTAATCGCTATTTAGTTATATGTAAACAATATGTAAGTTAATAATTTTCGTTTACTATCGTTTATAAATTATAAATAATGATAAAGTTTACAATTAGATACAGAAATGTATAGAATCAATGTCTGTATTTAAACACACTTTTAATAAATGGCCACAAGTGTAGTCTTTCCAACCCAACCCTATACTGTACTAACCGACTCTATACCCCTCCAAGTAATAATTGTATTATTTTTTTAGATAATTTATAAATTTATTAAACCATTGATGATGGATATAGTATTTTTCATATAAAATTTAAAATGTTTTTATTAAAATAAATGTTTGTGAAATATTTGATTAATATATAAAGTATTTATCAGTGAATCCTTGAATTCTGATTGATAGCAAACTTAAAGTTTGATTGTTATATGAAATTAAGTAAACCATTTAAACGCCAAACTTATGGTTAGTGCAATATTAAATAATTGTCTAGATAGTTTAATTACACTTTCTTTTTTATTTATGTAATTATTTGTACATAACGTAAATTAATTTATCAATAAACATGAGTTTTAACTCATTTAATAGACAATCATTGCAACAAATGATTACTGTTTGTCACATTTGATCCATACAGATATCGATGTCTACAGTTAAGATCAATCGGCATAGGTCACTTTTGCGTATGCCATAAATAAAAGTTTACTCTTTGAATTTAAATATGCAATAATTTTATTCGTAACAATTTTAGCTGAAAAATTTGATCATATTAAACAAATTATTTATTAAACATTTATACTCTATTTGAGTTGTATTTAAAGAAAGTCCATATAAAGATCATATTAATATATGATAGGTTCGTATTAGTAAAGCAAACATAATATTACCGCGATGGTGGGGCTATTCGGGCTTATTGGGGCGGTTGTCTTGAAACATAGGCAACTGTTCCTCGACGTACATTATAGCAGTGCGGGCGGCGGCGCCCAAACCGGGCGATTCTTCCTCCGCTTTTTTGACGCCTTCCCACATCGCGTCGCCGACAGCCTTACCCGCCGCATAGGTTGCGTCATACAGTTGACTAATCCCTGGCGGCCGGTGTTCGTCCACCCAGTTTCGCAATGAGTCCCAATAGTTGGACATCTATTCAATCAAAATCATATTCAATACATTCAATATATGATTACTATATCTTACAGTTTGTCGCCGTTTACAACGAGTCGTTAGAAACACAACCTCAACAGTAATGACCAGTTGTCCAAACGGTTGGATGTGATTGAGACAATTGAGGAGCAAATAGAAATGTAATACACAGTAATCAATGGCTTATATACACATTGAGAAGGAAATACATTTATAAACATTTCATTAGATTTTAAACATTATTTTACATCACATTTCTAATACTTAAAACTTATGATTAAAGTACAATTTTATATCGAAACAATTACACATTGATTTAATAACAAATGCAGTATTGAACGCATATCAAAAGTTAAACCAAAACATTTAACAACTATTTCTTAAAATTTTGAATCAAACATAAATTTGTTTACACCTAAATTTCCGATCTCACATTATTATGAATTTTAATCATATGTAAAGTATAATAAACATTTAACTTATTGTCCGTTTTAAACGACAAAAATATTTTTTAAAATCATATTTTAGTTGTTTTATAAATTATAACTAGAATTTATATATTAATTGATTTATTTGATTATCAATACTCAATGACAGTGCGGACTGTTTTGCCGGCTTTCAAACTATCAAAGCCTTCATTGATTTCATCCAAACGTATTCTGTGTGTAATTAAGCCATCGATAGGTAGAGAACCGCTTAAATACTTGTCAACCATTTCTTGATTCGCTTTTCGGGGCTTATAATTGCCAAAAAGCCCGCCGTTTACCGAACGGCCCATTAGAAAGTCACCAACTTTTGTGTCCACTTTATTACCCTTCGGACCCAAACCTTTGTCAACAAATTTGATTTTAATTTACAATTACTTTTGATGATTACAACAATATTGAGTACCAATAATAGTGAGTGAACCCCAATAGCTCAATGATTTGTAGGCCGAGTCGAGCACCTGTTGGTTACCGATGCANTGTCAACAAATTTGATTTTAATTTACAATTACTTTTGATGATTACAACAATATTGAGTACCAATAATAGTGAGTGAACCCCAATAGCTCAATGATTTGTAGGCCGAGTCGAGCACCTGTTGGTTACCGATGCAGTCAAACGCGTAATCAATTCCTCCCATTTTCTGCAAATAACTCTCAATCGGTTCGTCTGAATAGCAATTCAATTAAATTTAATTTAAATTATTGAATATTTTTCAAACCCATTACAGACCGAGTGTTTTAGGATTAATGAATTGATTGCAACCAAACTCTTTGGCGACACTTTCTTTGTCGGGATTGATGTCAATACCAATGATAATATGAGCGCCGGACTGTTTGCAGCCCAACAGTGCCGACAACCCGATGGCACCCAAACCCCAAACCGCACATTTGGCTCCGGGATGTACTCGAGCTATATTGACAGCACTGCCATAACCCGTCCCAACGGCGCAACCAATAACACAAACAGTCTTCAGATCAGCGCTCGGATTGATCTGCAATTATAATAAAGAGATTATAACCACAAATCAATTACTATAAATACAAATAAAATCCATGCCTTTGCTAACTGTGTTTCCCGGATCACAGTGTACTCGGAGAAAGTCCCTGTGCCCGCTATTATACATGATAAATAATGAATAATCACATTATGGTTAATATTTATGCAAACAATACTAAACTTACTAAATAATAGCAAATCATTGCCATTGAGTTTAGTACGAGTTTCTCTATTTTGGTGATACATTGTTTCAAACGGATTAACGCTAAGACAAAAGTTGGTCTTCGGATGGGCGCAGAGGTCACACTTCTCGCAGTTAGGCATCCATAGGGGTATGACGTGATCGCCGGCCTTAACACTGGTCACCCCCTCGCCCACCGACTCGACCACTCCGGCCCCCTCGTGACCCAATACGGTTGGTTTGCCCTCGAAGTTGGTGTCGGCGTCCGTCTGTTGGCCCCATATATAGTGTGCATCGGAGGCGCACAGACCGGCCGACACCATACGGACCCGCACTTCGCCCCCTTTCGGCGGATCCACTGTTATGTTCTCAATGGTCAGCGGTTTCCCCGCCTCCCAGAAGACGGCCGCCCGACAGTTGATCACCTGATTTGCCATCGAAATGAATAATTGTATTATTTTTTAACAATTTATAAATTAATTAAACCTCTGATGCCATTGATTATGGATATTGTATATTTCGTATAAAATTTAAAATGTTTTTATTAAAAGAAATTTTTGTGAAATATTTGATTAATATATAAAGTATTTATCAGTGAATCCTTGAATTCTGATTGATAGCAAACTTAAAGTTTGATTATTATATGAAATTAAGTATATCATTTAGACGCCAAACTTATGTGTAGTGCAATATTAAATAATTATCTAGACAGTTTGACATTAGGTTAAAAATAGTTTAATTACACTTTCTTTTTGATTAATTTAATTGTTTGTACACAACATTAATTAATTTATCAATAAACTCGAGTATTAACTGCTTTAATAGGCAATCATTGCAACAAATAATCATTATTTGTCTCTCATATTTGATCCATACAGACATCAATGTCCAAAATTAAGATCAATCGGCATAGGTCACTTCTGCGTATACCATAAATAAAAGTTTACTCTTTGAATTAAAATATGCAATAATTTTATTCGTAACAGTTTTAACTGAAAATTTTGATAATAATAAACAAGTAATTTATAAAAATTTATACTCTAATTGAGTTGTATTTTAAAGAAAATCCATATAAAGATCATATTAATATATGATGGGTTAGTTTTAGTAGACTAAACATAATATTACCACGATTGTGGGGCTATTTGGGCTTATTGGGGCGGTTGTCTTGAAACACAGGCCACTCGCGTTCGGTGTTCCTAATACTTTTGCGGGCGGCGGCGCCCAAATCGGGCGACACTTTCTCCAATTGTCTGGCGGTTTCCCAAACACCTTTGCCAACAGTCTTACCCGCCTTATAAGTCGCGTCATACACTTGACTAATCAATGGCGGCCGGTGTCTGTCCACCCAGTTTCTAAATGGGTCCCAAAAGTTGGGCATCTAATCAACAAAATTGTATTCAATTCTATAATATGGTTATCAATTATACAGTATCTTACAGTTAGTACAACGAGTCGTTAGAAACACAGCCCAAACGCTTGAATCCGATTGAGACAATTGAGAGGCCAATCGACTGAATAACTAATTGACAACAAATAGTACCCTTTTTATACCTATTTTTGGGGCGCAATTGTATAAAAAGCAGTGTATTTCTCATTGCATAGGAATCATGCAATAGTTTGTGCCCAATCAGTGATTGGCAATCACACCACTCTTGGTATTCCTGTATAGAGAAGGGGTAGGAGAGGGGCTGTTATTAACAACATGCAAATAGACCTTGGTGCAAATGATTTGAGGTGATTTTTAAGATCTAATGTTACAATCAAAGTCAAGTTTATACATGTAGTGAATACAAGTTCGTGTAAAAACAGTTTCATTCAAAGAAATTTATAATTTGTAATTCAATCCTGTAAATCAAAATTTATTTGTATAGAGAGTATAATAATAATAATAATATCCTTTATTGGACGGTATGGAGAGTATGGGATGTAATTCTACCCAAAAAACCTGGACAGAGAATATATCTATTAGAGAAAAAAACCCAGAAGGGGCTTAATTTTAATATTAGCTTCAATTATTACCATTGAAATGAATGTAAACCTGAATTTTTATAATGCTTGAATCAATGGTTGAAATCATTGCAATAGTTATGATTAAAAGTTAAGCCCCGTATGGACTTTCCTGAAAGATATAATATTTCTTCTCATAAAATAAATTTTCTTGAATTTTATCTATTTTTCCGTCGATTACTCTTACGATGAGATCGTATTTCGAAATGATTTCATTACTCGTATATAAATATCACTGAAACTGATGAAAACGTTTTGCTATTATTTTCAAAAATACAAATATTTGTTTATAAGATATTAGATTTTGGAAATTATTTCCGAAATACTATTTCCCAAAACACGAAACATACGGTTAAATGCATTTAATAATGTTTGATAAAAATAAACGTTTTCATACGTATAGAAATTATATCTCTGTTTTTTCAGTAGAAATTATTTGATTATATCATTCATTAAAATAATTATTGTCACAGATTTCCTGTTATTTCGTTTTAAATTTTCTTGAATTTTATCTATTTTTCCGTCGATTACTCTTACGATGAGATCGTATTTCGAAATGATTTCATTACTCGTATATAAATATCACTAAAACTGATGAAAACGTTTTGCTATTATTTTCAAAAATACAAATATTTATTTATAAGATATTAGATTTTGAAAATTATTTCCGAAATACTATTTCCCAAAAACACGAAATATACGGTTAAATGCATTCAATAATGTTTGGTAAAAATAAACGTTTTCATACGTATAGAAATTATATCTCTGTTTTTTTCAGTAGAAATTATTTGATTATATCATTCATTAAAATAATTATTGTCACAGATTTCCTGTTATTTCGTTTGAATGTATTTGAGCTAAAAATAAATAATTATTCTTTTGAAAAGTGTGTGAAAATTATATAATTCTTTATGTTTTGTGTTATAAAAATTCTTGTATATTATTTGTTCAGTGAATTGTTTGCATTAAATTGTTTGTTATCACTGTTTGCTTATTAAATAACTAAATACACGGCGAGAATCAGACAGACATCGAGACTCAGAATATGGGCATACATTTAATACTCGCGAAAACATAATGAAAAATGTGTACAAATTATATTTGAACAGAGATTTTGGACGAGAGAGAGAGAGAGAGAGAGAGAGAGAGAGAGCGAGAGAGTATTTACTAAAAAACAAGACCCAATTTTGTATTTTTATATGTCTGTAGCCTTGAAACACATTTTCCTGTTTTAGGGGGTATTTATTTTTAATGAACACACGAAACGTCTTCCAGGGATATAAATAATTGAAATTTTCTTCACTTTCTCTCCCCATCTCTTCTCCTTATGTAATGACTTTCACTTTGGTTTGACTTTCACTGTCAGTTCGCCTGTAAATACATTATATCTCTCAAAATCTCTTTCACTAATAAAAGATTTAATGATTTTTTACAATTCAATGCAAACCCAATGTATAGTTGTTTTTCTCCATCGGCTCTGTTTTTATACACACATTCGGGTTCTGTCTTATGATTCAACCATTTATAACGAGTGCTCATAAATTTAAAAATAAAAATATATATTCATTTGGTTATACAGTTAGGCCTATGCAAGAATCACTCTCCCAGTCTCTCTCTCTCTCTCTCTCTCCGCTCACATGACTGTTCAAACCATCGGTTCCCCATCTCATCACTCACACCATGTATTTATTTATATAATCAATAGAAAGTTTTGGGAACACCTAAAGGGCCCAACAGTGAGCAGCGCGGGCGTCGGGAATGAGCCCTTATGGCGGGTGTGCCGGTCAAAAGTGTGTACCCCAACCCCTATGTCCTTGAATGCAATGGGCTTTTCGCTCGCAATGTATGGCTCACTTTTTCCCAAACAATTTAATACATATACTATTATATTATACGTGATATTGCCTTCCCGTATATACGAGTGGTGTCGACCCCCACCGCACCAACCGTTGGCCACCCCTTTCGTATCCCCACTACTACTCTCTCTCCGAGCGAATCAAAATTGGGTCAAACTTGTGATTACTGGCGGAAACGATGCACACATTTCGGGCACATATTTTGCACTGTAATGCCTGACATAGAGAGAGAGAGAGAGAGAGAGAGAGAGAGAGAGAGAGAGAGNGAGAGAGAGAGAGAGAGAGAGAGAGAGAGAGAGAGAGAGAGAGAGAGAGAGAGAGAGTATGGGGAAAGCACAGGGAGAAGGAAGGAGAGTATGGAAAAAGAGATACAAAACCTTCCGGTATAGGAAGCATAGAGAGGACCAGAATTGGCACTTCCGTGAAGAATATATACACCATATATAGTATGCAATGAATTGCAGAGTGATGTGCAATATTATCAAACCTTATGCCTCTTTTGTTATCAAAACCCAATAGACCCTCACTATAAAGCCGCAGATAGAGGGCCTCCTGTTCCCCATTATATACGTATGGCGTATATTGCATGTAATGGTTGGGCAAAAAGTAATGCAAAATATGGGAAATACAGCAAAAAGAAAGCATTCTTTGTTATTGGGTTTTATAATAATAATATTTGTCCCCTTTTTTGCCTAATACTCGACACCAGTCTATGTGTCGATTACTCCTACTATTAATGCGCGTATATTTGAGATTAAAAATATACTTTTGTATAATCTTTTCCTAAGAAAAAGTATTTATCATTTCTTGTGGTCCGCTGTAAGAGAGGGAAAGAGGGAAAGAGAGAGAGAGAGAGAGAGAGAGAGAGAGAGAGAGAGAGAAGTCTTTTGAAAGAAAACTCCTTAAACGACATATAATTCTTTGATTAATACGATTCTTATATAATATTTGCGATTTCTTTGTTAGAAATGTCTTACAATAAAAAGTTTTGCTGAGAAATGTGAAAAATATAAGTTTCCCCCAGTTTTTCAGAGGACTGTTCACACAATCAGTATATATTAGTACATATTTCGAGTAATAATAGCTAATACTTAGTTTTATATTTGTTTTTCGCACAATTGTTTTGATTATTTACTTATGGTTTATTCGTTAATGTTGTATAGATTTGCTATTTTCTGTATAAATAGGATTATTCTTATATTGTATTGCAAAGTGTATTTAAAATTATTATTAATAATTTATTTAAAATTCATACTTGTATTCACTGTTAAACACAGTATTTGCTGTATAAATTTATTTACAAATAATGTTTTATAATTCACATGTAAATGTATTTAATATTTAACCAACAAAATACAATAATTTGGTTTAATTTTTGAGAAATTCATTTTAAAATAAGTTATAATAATAAAAATTTTATGTTTCAAACCAAAAATACAGTGTTATTCAAGAATACAAGTGTTGAAACTTATACACAAAAAAACATTGTGAAGAACCACTTGAATAGTGGTTATAAAATGCATTCATATTTTAGACATAAATTTTGGACAAAACTTTTTTATGTGCCATCTTTTCCCCTAAAAGACAACGTTAACCACCTTTTCAAGCATTCAACACATTTTTACGTAACAAAACATTATAGTTATAGTTATCTATAAATATAAAGTTCTTAACAAAAAAATGTTAATATTATTGAATAAATCAGAGCATAAGGTATTGACTATTATTTCCGCACTCGAGATGGAGAGGACTCTTCCCTAAAATATAATTTACAGTTATATCATATAATTCTTACTGTTGTCCACAAAATGAACCGAAATTTTTGTGTTAACACAAAAAGGAGATGAAAATAGACGACCAAAAAGAAGATGAAGAGAAAGGGAGAGAAAGAAAGAGAGAGAAAACCAGTTTGTATTGAATGAAAGGTTTTGGGCGTAACAGTGATCTCACTGTAACTCACAGTCAGGTTATGCGGACATAAAAGTCACATCATTTTAGTTCTCTCTCAATATTATCTCGTGATTCGCGGGAATCGCATAAAAATTTCTACATTAATGAAATTTATCGCAAAGAATTGTGTATTGAATTTATGTGGAAATATAAGGAACTATGTGTTTGGCATTGAAGTTGGGGCTCGTCTTTGGGCCATAACATAGAGGGGTATATACTGTAGAGCAGTGTTGGGCACTGGAGTGGGAAGTAGTGGTGGAAGTGGTGTTTGCAGTTGTTATGGAAGAGTGCTGTCAGAGAGTGAAAGATCTTAGGAAAGAAAGAAACGGACAGAATGTAAGCGTTGAGTTAAATAATTTACAGTTATATCATATAATTCTTACTGTTGTCCACAAAATGAACCGAAATTTTTGTGTTAACACAAAAAGGAGATGAAAATAGACGACCAAAAAGAAGATGAAGAGAAAGGGAGAGAAAGAAAAAGAGAGAAAAACCGTTTGTATTTAATGAAAGGTTTTGGGCGTAACAGTGATCTCACTGTAACTCACAGTCAGGTTATGCGGACATAAAAGTCACATCATTTTAGTTTTCTCTCTCAATATTATCTCGTGATTCGCGGGAATCGCATAAAAATTTCTACATTAATGAAATTTATCGCAAAGAATTGTGTATTGAATTTATGTGGAAATATAAGGAAGAACTGTGTGTTTGGCATTGAAGTTGGGGCTCGTCTTTGGGCCATAACATAGAGGGGTATATACTGTAGAGCAGTGTTGGGTAGTGTTGGGCACTGGAGTGGGAAGTAGTGGTGGAAGTGGTGTTTGCAGTTGTTATGGAAGAGTGCTGTCAGAGAGTGAAAGATCTTAGGAAAGAAAGAAACGGACAGAATGTAAGCGTTGAGTTAAAAAGTGCACACTTTGTGCCAAAAGACATACGGATTTTACAGCAAATAGTATTATATTTGTTGATATTATTTATGACCAGTTCCTGTATCCACCATATCTTACTAACACATCTTTCCTTTTACTCTCTCTCTCTCTCTTCATCTTCTTTTTGGTCGTCTATTTTCATCTCCTTTTTGTGTTAACACAAAAATTTCGGTTCATTTTGTGGACAACAGTAAGAATTATATGATATAACTGTAAATTATATTTTAGGGTTCTAGGGCATTGTGTTATTGTGTTTTGAATTCATGGTCAATACTCTCTCTCTCTCTCTCTCTCTCTCTCTCTCTCCTTCTCTCTTTTACTCTCTTCACTCTTTAAATATCAATACAAAAATCTGACTTATATTCTGCAAACTTCTGGCAAATGTATACAAAAAACATTCGCTGCATATGTTGTGTGTTGTGTCCCCTCTTTGTTGTCAGTATTACTACTATTACTACACTATTATTGTTGTTAAAAACTGTTCCGTCTATTCTATGGCAACCTAGCGGTGCATTTCCAATGAGAGAGAGAGAGAGAGAGAGAGTATTGACCATGAATTCAAAACACAATAACACAATGCCCTAGAAATCTAGTGTTCGGTATATTCTCTCACTGTATATATTGAGAGAAAATCTTTGTGAACATTAAACTTGAAATTTATCAGAAAAAGAGAGAAAATTGATATGTTTTTTGGGTTAATATTAATAGCATTTTCTCTCTTTCTTCACAAAAACGGAAATCTTTTATATCATATTTCGTATATTTTTATTATTTATTTTCTTATCAAAAACGTGTCTTAAGGTTTGATTTTGGAAAATATATTTTAAACACTTTTCTTTCAATAATGTTATACGAAATCTATTTTAATGTCTAAAGATTGCCTCAAATATTATGTACAAATGTATGCAATTTCTAGTCTGTAATCATCGCTAATATGTTTGACAAACAAATTTCTCGCAGTATTTGAAACGAGAATAAATGAACAAAAATCCAATTAAATTCAATTAACAAATAGTGTTTATGCATTTCCAGCTCTCAATGAATAGGGTATTTCATTTGTTAGCCGTATGTAAAACAGCATAATATTCTCGGAGAACACAATATATAACGTTAAATGAAAATATCATATGAATTATATTGAGTGAGAAAACTATTTCTTCCAACAATTTTAACTCATTAATCGTGTCCTTCATATGTAATGTTGTGTTTCGCTTGTGTTATACGAAGTGATGCTAAAGTATTTTATTGAAAAATTTTTATTTTTATTTTTCGGCGTTAATTATATTTCCAGTTCATTATCACAGCTGCCATTCATTCCCAGTGTTTGTTCATATGATTTGCAATATTTAAACAACATTTTTATACAAATGCTGTATAATTGCTGACACTCTGTATACCCCCTCCCATACCATACCATACCATACGTACAGTCAAACCAACACAACAACTGCTACTCCACTGTAATAGTGAAGTAGATATACAAAAATATAACGTCTAATAAGTTATTCTGGCGCTCAGTATTTCTGGTGAAGTAGTTTAGCACACATTTGATGTGCTTTTCCGCAGAGAGAGAGAGAGAGAGAGAGAGAGTTATGTAACAAACAATAATTAGTTAAAGGAAGTGAAGGTTACGGGAGAAGACTGTGTGGCAGTTGAGGTGAATGTGAAATATAGTCAATTGATTTGGCTTTTCGGGGAAGCAATTGTTTTTTGTTTTGTGAAACAACAAAAACAACGCTATATATAAAGTAAAAGTATTTTCTCGTAGATTATTATTACATAATATGTTTTAGACACTAAAAATGGCATAACATTAAAGGACTAATAGTTTTGGTGGAAAAATACTTTGGATAAAAAGGGAGGAGAAGTGAAGGGAGTGAACAGCTATGGGAAGAGAAATGCCTTAAATATACTGCACATGAGTCCTAAAAATGATAATTAACTGCATTTTTTGCAGCCAATTTATGGCTAAGGCTTTCCCTTTTGGTTGATGGTGGTTAATATTATTAACCTAGTGTGTTAATAACATGTATTTTATTAATATTAGTATCTAAGCCATGGATGCATTGAATCGGCAAAACATCACATCTCCAGAGCAACAGAAAAATATCAGACAAAATAATGTCAATAAATGTCTCAAAAATAATTTTCAATACATAAACACATATTTGGATTCAGTCTATGTATTGTCTATTAATTCTGATTATAATACCTGACATTGAAATGACATTGTTTACAGTAGTCTACATATTATGGTTATATAATAAACACATAAATAAAACTATTTCTAAAGAAAATCAATACACAATATGCAGGGAATTATACGTAAATTCATAACATTAAAGGACTAATAGTTTTGGTGGAAAAATACTTTGGATAAAAAGGGAGGAGAAGTGAAGGGAGTGAACAGCTATGGGAAGAGAAATGCCTTAAATATACTGCACATGAGTCCTAAAAATTATAATTAACTGCATTTTTTGCAACCAATTTATGGCTAAGGCTTTCCCTTTCGGTTAATAATGGTTAATATTATTAACCTAGTGTGTTAATAACATGTATTTTATTAATATTAGTATCTAAACTATGGATGCATTGAATCGCCAAAACATCACATCTCCAGAGCAACAGAAAAATATCAGACAAAATAATGTCAATAAATGTCTCAAAAATAATTTCCAATACATAAACACATATTTGGATTCAGTCTATGTATTGTCTATTAATTCATATAATACCTGACATTGAAATGACATTGTTTACAGTAGTCTACATATTATGGTTATATAATAAACACATAAATAAAACTATTTCTAAAGAAAATCAATACACAATATGCAGGGAATTATACGT